CCCAGCTCTGCCACTTACCAGCTTTGTGACTTGTGGTAAGTGGACTACTCTGAACCTCAGTTTCCTCATCATGAGCAAGAGATGACAGCCTCCCCCTACAAAGGGCTGTGGGGATTCATGAGAAGTCCCTGTGCCCAATCCATAGTGGGCAATTGGGAATGCTTCTTTCCTCCATCCTCAGTACAGTCCTGCCTGGTCACGTGCCCGGGCAGCTGACTGCATTTGCTGTTTGGCTGACACCGCTGTTGTTGATCGCACCTGAAACCATTTCCAAAGTCACCGTGGAACATTTCAGCCTCCACACCTGCCCTGCTTTGTAAGAAAAGGGATTAGCATTGGGCAAAGTCACAGCATTTAGGATGGTCCTACTCGAGCGGGAGCAAATGCCGGTTAAAGGTCAGTCCTCTAGAGCCAACGGTGGCTGGCCTGCAGCACTGTCTAAAAAGAACTAAAATAACCTCTAGCCTGCAGATTGAGCTGAAACAAAGCCACTCCGGCAGCATCGTGGGCTGGCTTGCCTAGTTTGCGGGGATGGGCTTGTGGCCTACGTGATGGACGGACGCTAGCACCAGTTTTGAAATCAAAATGGTGGCCACGAGTGGCTTTTCCCAGGCCAGAGAATGGCGTTTTTCTTTGTCGTGCTTTAGGTCAGCTTGCTGCAGTTTTAATGTGTGTGTGTATGGAAATGGGATGATGTCTCAGACTTTCTGAAGCCAAAGGATCAAGCCAGCCAGTCAGGAAAGGTCACGGACAGAATGGGGACAGTGGACAAGTAGGGGGCAGGCTTTGGCTTCATGGAACAGGGTGCAGATGAGGGGCTAGTTTCGTTAGGAGATTAGCAGTCGCCGATCCTCTTGGCATCACTGCGTTGAAATAACATAGCATTTACTGTGCTCCAGACACCATCTTTTACTTGCTGTGTGTTGACTTATTTAATCCTCATAACCTTATTTCATCCTTATTTCCACGTATTGACTTATTTAATGAGGTATATGTTATTATCCCCGTTTTACAGATGGGGAAACTGAGTGCCTTGCCCAAAGGTCACTGGAATGGCCATGTCTTTGGGTGTCCCTATTACAAAATTAATAGCTTTTTTCTTATTGAAAATAATATATCATGGCAGAAAAAAATTTTAAAAACATAGGCAAGGAGAAGACAATGGAAACCACCTGTGTTCAACCACCCTGCAATAACTGCTGTTAACATTTTAACAGTGTCTGTTTCCCCAGGGGTCTGCCAATTATGCCCCCCACCTCCCCGGGCCTCGCCTGCGTCTGCCTGTTGTTGGAAAGAAATGAAGTTCTTAAAAACAAACTGAGCTTGCTGGTTGATAGAATATAATTATGATAAAAGCACTATTCCTATTTGCAAGATGATACTGACCCTTCCAAAGTGCTTTTCTAAGACCTGTTTCATTTCAGCAGTTCAATCCTGGGAGGTTTTAGAAGGAAAGCTGCTTGCAGTTCGTGGGAGGCAGCAAGGCTATCTCAAGGGCCAGCAATCATTTGTTCACTTATTCATTCATTCGTTCATTTGGGCACCATGCTTAAGCTCAGTTGAGTGGAGAAAAGTTGTAATTGAAAAGACATACCCTCTTGATTGTGGCATTTGAACACGATGGTGTCTGTCGTTCATCTCTTTTTGTTGCCCAGGCTTTGAAGTCTGTTTCTTCATCTCTGACAGGCAGAGCCTTTGGTGGCTCACCCTGCGGGGCAGGGGAGGCTACAGGTTTGTAGAAGGCTTTTCCCACAGGGAACCATACTGGACACAGAGACTTTATAAAGCCGAAAACCTCCACCCGTACCATTTCCACTCTATCCCGTGAAAGGGGAAGGTCTGGTGTGGTGGAAAGACGTGCTGGGCCTCAGTTTGCCCATCTGTAAAATGGAACTCCTCTTTCCCGACTGCTTATTTGCTCTGGCTTTGCTGTTTCCTGCCCGGACGATAGATGGTGGCAGGCTGGAGGTGTTCAGTGGTGGGATCAGTCCATTCTTCACCAGACTTTTTGGCCCCCTGAACCCCTCAGCCCTGGCCTCCCCAGATGCCTGATGACCCAGTCACTGGACACACCTGTGGGTGGTTAACCTCTAGCCTCATTCCCTGTGGGCGGCTCCCAGCCCAGATACCCCATTGCCTCATTGCCAGCTTAAGAGAGTAGGCTGAGCGTGCACACCTGATTTTGATCCTTTCAAAACCCTACCAAATGACAGCAGAGATTTTCTTGGTTTTCTGTTTTTTAAGAGATAGAAATCCTTCGAGTCTGGGAGAACAGGAGGGGAGATTAGTAGCAACATTTTGGAAGCCAGAAAGCAGAGGAACGAGAGGGGTAACTGGCTTAGCAGAACTGAGAAGGCTGAGTCCTAATGCAGCAGTGAGGACACCCCCCCCAGTCTGTACCGCAGAGCCCCCAAAAGGCACAGTGGCTGGCAGCATGGGGTGCCCTGGAACTGGGGGCGAAGAGACTGGTGAAGGGGGTACCAAAATCAGAAGGATTGGGTAAAAGACTCCCAGATCCGCGCCTCTGCTCCCTGGGCCGTGGGCTGTCCGCTTCAACCCCAGCGGAAGGCAGGCAGTTCCGTCTGGGGAGAGGGACAAGCAGAGGGTCTTGGGACGGGGGATTGGTGGGCACAGTTGGATGAATGGGGCCTGTGTCCCAAATAGGAGGGTGAGGGTCGTACAGGTGCCGAATCCTTAGAACTGCGCTGTCCCCCCGGCTCCTCACTGGCTTTTGTGGTCCAGGCAGAGACCGGACTTTCCCCAGGGAATCTGGCCAGCGAGGGAGAAAGACTCTGAAGATGCTGACGCGGGATCCCCAGTGCGTTGGACTCCTCGATCACCCTGCGCTGAGCTCGGGGCCACACGCTCGGGGTTTCTCTTCCCACTCGCCGCTGTCAGGGCAGGGCCAAGGCTCACCCAACAGCTGGGTGCAGTTTCTAGCGTGGAAGACAGGGCCCAAACAAACGAACGCAGGAAACTTGAAAGAAACAGAAATCATGCCGGAGAAGAGAACTTAAAAATGCTCTCATTAATATCCCCCGAGGTCGGGCAGGATGTTGCACACAAAGGAACAGGGTGCTGTCAAAGAGGGAGCCTTCGCAGAACCAAAAACTAACTCTTGGACATTATAAACGTGATAGCCACAATGAAGAACTCCACTTGAACGGTTGGAAGAGAAGGCTGAGAAAATCACCCAGAAAAGTAGGCGAAAAGAGAGAAGAGGAGGGGGAGAAATACGTACACTGGTGGGCCAGTGTAGGAATTTCAACATCCAGATAATAGGACTTCTGGAAAGAATAAAGAAGGAAAGAAAGGCTGAAGACAAGTCCCCAGGACTTGAGTTTCCAGATCAAGAGGGCCCGAGAGATGCGCAGCCTCACGGGTGGAAACAGACACACACCTGGGCCCTCACTCTGACACGGTCGAGTTCTGTGGCACAGAGGAGACCCTGTAAACTTCTGGATATGAGAAAACAGGTCACCTACAAAGGATCGAGGGTCAGAATTGCTCCCATTCTAGCAGCCTTGGAAGCTACAATGCAATGGCGTGAGGCTTCCAAAACCCTGAAGGTTTTCTTTCCTAGCATTCCCTGCATAGCCAAGCGCTAGGGTCGAAGGTGAGGGCAGAAGAAAGTTGCAGAACATGCAAGGACGCAGAGCACATACTCCCTGAATACCCTTTCTGAGAAAGCAGCTTGAGGATGTGTTCCACTGAAACCAGAGGGTAAACCGAGGAAGAGCAACACACAGGAGACAGGAGATCTGACACAGAGTCAAAGGGAATCTCCAGAGTGATGGTGAAACAAAGACCAGGGCAGGCGGGTTGAGGGTGTCATCGTCACGCGCTCTGCCATTATACCATCTCGTTAACTGGATGAACCCACCGCAGGATAAGCCCCAGCAAAACAAGGGAGTCTGCCTAGAAAGAGGGAGACACCCAATCCCCCAAATCAGGGATCTACCCCCAAGGAACAGTAAAGGGAATTCTAGGGATGTCGGCAAAGGGAAGCCCCTTTGGCGTGAGGAGCCAGTCCAGACAACAGGACACTCAGCCTCCAGGAGGGATGTCACCGAAGGAAACATAAAGGGGACTGATCAATTATCTTACCTGTCCTGGGAGTCTGTTACGGGGAGTGGGATGAATTAATAATAGCAACTGGTGCCAGGAACACTGAGTCAAGGGGAAAAAAATATCAGTAAGTCCAGGAAAAAACAGAAAGGAAATAAAATCTGACCCACCACGACTCTCATCTATGAATAACGATCACAGACTGACAAAACAGCGAGCGCGGAATTTGCTAAATTACAGTGTACCTCTACGTATTGGTTGGGGGAGGGGTGGGGCAGAGAGAGCTGAATCCGCACCTCTCAAGATGGGACGGCCGTGGATGGTGTCTCGAGCGGGGGACTCACAGGATGGCATCCACGTGCTGTGAGAGCCATGCAGGTCTGTCATTGCCAGAACAAGTCAACGGTGATTTCCACCGGTGTGGAGGGGCAGGGAAGGGAGCCTCTGTTCTATTGCTCTACATTTTTTAAATTGTTTTCAGTTTTCTAAAAAAATTTTGAAATAAGAATACAGAAGAATCCACAGAAGATACAAATACCGTTTAGCAAGTCTGAAGTGTTAGAATGTAAAACCCCCATCCCCGTTATAAGTTTTTTAGCATGACGTTGAGTTCTTAAACGATGGGCATGTAAAGTAAAAATTAATCTAAGATTAAAAGTCTACACGTACACCTTGGGGCAAGTCAAGGGCATGCGCTGGCCTCCTGAGACGGTGTCTCCTGCCCTCGAACCCCCGTGGGAAGTGCTTCTTGGTCTCTGGGGAGCGAGCAAAGCAGAGAGGGTCCCGTGCCCCTTGGCTCCTCTGCGGACGTAGGTTTCACAGGTGTTGAGATCTGACCCCTCCTGGAGCCTCCCGGGCTCCCTCCCTCACACGGGTCTGTCTGTCTGTCTGTCTGCCTGCCTGCCTGCCTGCCTGCCGTTTCCGCTCTGCAGGCCGAGCATGTCTGGACTCCACCTGGTGAAGAGGGGCCGGGAACACAAGAAGCTGGATCTGCACAGAGACTTTACCGTGGCTTCCCCAGCCGAGTTTGTCACACGCTTCGGAGGGGATCGGGTCATTGAGAAGGTACGAATGGGTCCCCACACTCTGGGTGGGGCCTGGTTGGGGTGGAGGGCACCCCCCTTCCCAGCTGGAGGTGGGAGAAGCAGCTTCAGGCTCGGTCCTCACGCTGCAGTGGGCAAGGGCCACCCTCCCATGACACTCGCTTAGCGTGGACGCTTGACTTCGTGAGCTCTTGGCCCTTGTTCAGCCCAGTGCGATGGGAGCATTACCTCCCCACCCCCACTCACGGGGATGGGGGGCGACGAGGCCTCTGGGCGTGGTCGGGGGGCTCCTGCTGAGGACCCTTGGTGCTTTCCAGAAAGAGGCCGCTTTCCAGGTTGTTGGACGGGAAGCGTGACACCCAGCCCTGCCCTCCCAAGAATTCTTAGAGGAGAAGAGACTCGTGTCCTAGAATGACAGCAATGAAAAGGAAGTCGCTGAGAGTTGCCATTCATTAGGGCTTTTCCCTCTATCTTCTATTCCACGCAGTTAGGGCCCTGGGTCAGACGCGTGACTGTGATTATTCCCGTCATACTCAGGGAGAAACCGGTACTCAGGGATGTGACTTTAGTTGTCTAAGGTCACGTAGCTCATAAGTGGTGGAACGGGGATTTGAACCCAGGTCAGTTTGGCTATGAGGCCTCGATCTTTTCCATTTTACTTGTGGGCGGTGGTAGTAATAATAGCAGCAAGAACAGCATGGTCGCAGCTGCTACCGTCGAGTGAGGGCCTGTCCCAAGGCAGGCATCCTGTTACCTGCTCTGCGTCATCATATCTCATTTAACCACCCCCACAGCTCCATCCGTGGGTATTATTTTACAGATGAGGAAACTGAGTCTCTCGGGGTATAGGGGTTGCTTGCCCAGTGGTGTAGCTGGGATTTGAACCCCAGCTATTGGGATCCAGAGCCCACACCCTCAACCCAGCGTTGGGGGGTGCGATATTGAGCAGTAACTCATGCAGGTCCCTAAACCTGCTGCCAAGAGTCTTGCTGATTACAAGTACAGATTCCTCCACACTTCTCAGACCCTCCCAGGTCCAGAAGCCGAATTTTTGCCACACTTGCCGGGGGCTGCTTTGTAGCCAGGGCAACTGGTGGCTGGATTTAGTTCTCAGGCGCCCAGAGGCTGGGGCGTCTGCAGAAAGCCTCAGCCTGGAGCTGTTGCATTTTCTGGCTTTGGAGTCGACCTTGGCCTGCCCTCTCTCCTAGACTCCTTGTGGGAAAGCTCCGTGGAGCACTGGAATGGCAAGCTGGCCTGCAGCAGCCGTCTCCCCCGTGGGGCTCCCATGACATTTGTTACGCCACAGCAAATGAGGCCAAGAGACACTGGGCCATCCCCAGGTCATCGTGGTCCTTCCCTCTTGACCCAGCCTTGCTGTGGTAATACATTGACAAAGCCCAGCCCAGCCATTTCCTCACCTCTTCCCAAGAGGCACTTTTGACACGGTAGCAAGAACACTTTACTTGAGCCAGGAACCCTGGGGTCAAATCCTGGGGTGACCACTCTTGGGATGGGAACTCTAGGCTGAGTTTCCCCTTGTGTAAAATCGAGGCGATCACTTCCCACATCACCGAGACTTTCGATGTCACGAAGATTAGACAGCAACGGAGGAGGACTTAAAATGAGGAAATTGCTGTGTCAGTTGAGCTTTGAAGCCATACGCCTAATTTTGTCTTTTTAAGACACAGAGAGTCTTGCTACACTTTCCAGGCTGGATAATTTTTTTTTTTTTAAAACAAGAAAACTAGAGCTTAGTTTTATTTCTTAGAGACCAGGCCAGATCGGCCAGTCTGACCCCTTTATGTAGATGTGAAGCTCAGAGAGGGAAGGGATCTGCCGAAGGCCACACAGCAAGTTCGTGACACAACTGGGAATTGAAACCAGGACCCTTTCTAGTACTCTCTGTGGTTGGGGAGCACCGGCATTACTGCTGTTCCTCCTTAACAAACCTGGGACCTTTAACCTTTAGAATGCAGGGGCAGCCGTGGCGCAGGGGGAGCAGTTTAGAGCACAGGTCAGACTGGAAGGTTTATGTCTCTGCTCTGCCACTTACTAACAGTGTGACCTGGGGCAGGTGCCTTAACTTCTCTGAGTTTTAATGTCTTTAATCTCCAAACAGGGATAATAATAAGACCTCTTTCAGAGGGCTGTGGTGAGGATGAAATGAAATAGGGCAGATGAAACACACTGTACTGTAGCTTGGCGCATAATCATCACTCGAAAACCGTGAAGGGTGATCATACTGGCACCAAACAAAGGAATCAGAAATCGCTCATCCGTTCATGCAGCTGGCAGACTTTGCCCACCGGCTCCGTGCCAGGCCCCGTGCCGTAGAAATACAAAGAGGAACCATGCGCTCCGGGTGCCGTAGGCATCTCTGCAGCCGTGAGGCGGACTCGGGGCGGCACCCGGCCCCCGGCGCCGGTGGATGTGCGTCTCCAGCCCCTCCTTCTCCCCGCGCAGGTGCTCGTCGCCAACAACGGCATCGCCGCCGTGAAGTGCATGCGCTCCATCCGCAGGTGGGCCTACGAGATGTTCCGCAACGAGCGGGCCATCCGCTTTGTGGTCATGGTGACCCCCGAGGACCTCAAGGCCAATGCAGGTACCTGGGCTTGGACCCTTCCCCCCCACCGTGCCCCATCCTTACCTGCCCTCCCCTCTGCCACCCTGCCCAGGCAAGGCCATCCTGGACCCCACACAGAGTCAGGACCTCTCGTGAATCTGTATTTATTTGCCCTTTCTTCTTTATTTAATTAAAATACCTGCTGGTAACAAGAGCGACCCGTGTGCCTTATAAAAATGCAAATGGTTAGCATACAGAGTGGCAATCCCATCTTTGAGAAATGTCTGCGTTCCACCAGATTAGCGTCTGTTTCTCCAGATATTTTTTCCTGCAGATGCACGTACTGTATTTCAATCATTCATTCATTTTTCTGTTCATTTACCTACCTATCCTTTTTTTTTTTTTCCTCTCTGTCACCCTGGCTAAAGCGCAGTAGTGTCATCATAGCTCACTGCAACCTCAAACTCCACAACACGGATGAACCTTGAAGTCATTTCGCCATTGACAGTGAAATAAGCCCGTCACAAAAAAAACAAATACCGTGATTCCACTTGTAAGGGCTTCACAAGAGAAGTGAAATTCATAGAGACAGAGTGTAGAATGTTGGTTGCCAAGGACTCTGGGGAGGGAGAGAGGAGTTGTTAATGAGTACAGCATTTCATCTGTAAGATGAAAAAAGTTCTGGAGATCTGTTTCACGGCGGTATAAATATACTTACCACTACACTCAGAACTGTACGCTCAGAAAGTGCTCACGATGATCAATTTTATGTGTTTTTTTTAACTATAATTTACAAAACCCTGTTGTATCGTTTAATAGTGCAACAATATGAAGATAGACTTTTTTGTTTGTTTGTTTTTTGATTTACATTCCAGAGAGAGTGGAACGGGTCAGTTCCCAGGAGTAGAGAAAGACCAAGATAAACTTTCAAGTAGGAATTTTAAAAAACACCTCTAACCCCACTATCCTGACAGATCACGTCCTTCCCCTTTTGTTCCCTTCTGGGCCTTGTCCGGAAGCACACTTGTTTTTTACATAATTAAAATCGTATTCAGTTTTCTTCAAATTTTCATCCACGTTTGTCCATTGTTGCCGTAGAATCTTCACGGTCGTGCTTTCGGTGACTGTGCGCAGTTGCGCCGCGCGGTGTTCCGCGGGTGACTTCAGTCTGTCAGCAGTGCGTTCTCCCCCCTGTCTGATTCCAGAGTACATCAAGATGGCAGATCAGTACGTCCCTGTTCCGGGAGGGCCCAACAACAACAACTATGCCAACGTGGAGCTGATCGTGGACATCGCCAAGAGAATCCCGGTGCAGGTAAGCGGGTCGGGGCGCCCGAATGTGCCTGTGGCGGGATGATGCCCCCACGTTCTGGAATGATTCGATTCCGTTGCTCAGAAGGGGTGGAGGGGTGGGTCCCGCGAGACTCTGAATTCCTGGGCAGATATAACACAGCGAAGAGCTTTGCGGGTGATGGGAGGCGAGCTCTCGAAGGAAGACCTTTGTCCTCCCCTTTCCGTGTTTGCAGGCGGTGTGGGCTGGCTGGGGCCATGCTTCCGAAAACCCCAAGCTCCCGGAGCTGCTGTGCAAGCATGGGATCGCTTTCCTAGGTAGAGTGTGTCTCCGTCAGGTGTGTGCGGGGTGGGGGTTGATGGGACTCCCAGCTGGGGCAGATTCTCTTCAGTCACACTTTTGTTGTGAGGACCAAGTGAGTCTGGGGCGGGAGGCCATGGACAGTCTTCCAGGCCACGGAAATAGGAGCCTTGGTCATGGTCATGGTCGTGGAATGATGTTGGGGCACACAGAATGCTCTGGTAGTGTTCCTCCTGCTGCTGAGGTGTCAGCCGTGCTCAGAGTGCTGACGAGGTCACATTTCTAAGAAGGCCGCACCTTTGCTTGGAGTTCTCAGGCCTTTAGAGTGCCCTAGACCCCTTGGGACCAGAGCCCCTCATTTTACTACTCATTAGGTAAAATGATACTCATGGTCTTATGGCATCTGTTGGTTCCAGGATTTATATTTGCATTCGTTAACTTTGTATATGTGATTGTGCTACCTGACTTCCTGTGTGGTTTAGAGGAATCTTTATTCATTTACTATCACACAATGAATCCCTGCTGCTCCTTGCACCTGGGGTGGAAAACAGACTTGCCCACCTGTGAGGAAGCTTGGTGAACATTGACACCCACGTGTCTGCCTGGTGACCTGCGCCCATTGATGTTTTCTCTGTCATGGGCTCTGAGTACCTCTGGGTACCTGTCCCGACTGCCTGTCACACGGGACTCTCATTACCAGTCTTGGCTCCTCTGGAGCCGGCCAGCTCCAGCTCACAGGCCACATCCGGCCCACTGCCTGCCGTTGTAAATAAAGTTTTATTGAAACACGGCTATACTCATTCATTTATGTATTGCCTATGACTGCTTTCACCCCACGCTGGCAAAATTGAGTACTTGTGACCAAGGACCTGCAGGCCCACAAAATTGAAAAAATTAATATTTGCTGCCTGGCTCTTTATAGGAAAAGTTTGCCCACCCATGGTCTAGCTCTTTGAGCTGCTAGCTTGTCTAGCTTTCTGCCTGCCCTCCACGGTGAGTGCTGCACACGCCACGATAGCATAGGTCGTAACTCATGCCAGGTTTACAATCCACAGGTGTTGAAAGTTGACGGATGTGACAGCAGACTAGCAGATTTTTTCTTCCCTGACGTGAGGTTAAGCTCCTTGAGAGCTGGGACCTGAGTACTGTTCTTTGTCGTCCACTCCACCCTACCCCACCCTGGCCCCAGCACTGTGCACTTAGTTGGCACTCGGCCTTGAGGGTCCAGTGACGGACTTGACTCTGCCTCTCTTCTTGTCCCTGATTCCTCAGGCCCTCCCAGTGAGGCCATGTGGGCCTTGGGAGACAAGATCGCCTCCACCATCGTGGCCCAGACACTGCGGGTCCCAACTCTGCCCTGGAGTGGAAGCGGTAAGGGAAACTGAGCTTCACCCTGGGGGAACGTCTCAGCCCCACCTTGGTCACTTGAGCAGTCGGGGTGACAGAAGTATGCTCTTTAAAATTCTTTTATTTAGGCCAGACGCGGTGGCTGATGCCTGTAATCCTAGCACTCTGGGAGGCCGAGGGGGGC